CGCCACCCCCACTCCCCCCTCCACCCCCACCGCCTCCTCCACCGCCCCCTCTAGCTCCACCCGCCCCCTTGCCCCCCTTGCCCTTGCCAGAGCGGCGTCTGCCGCTGGGGGCAGACGCCGCGCCGACCGACTCAAAACCAGCGAGGTCGGCCGCAGCGGCAGAGGCGACAGAGGGCAGCAGGGGGGAAGGACCACACCCCTCAAAGATGGGGGTGCGAGGGTCACCCCGAGAGGCCCCTACAGCGACTATACTCTTCTCAGCCGCTAGCAGGGACTCCTCAAGGAGGTCGACAGTGAGAGTGGTGGGACAGACAGAGAGAAACTGGTCCCTAACGACACGAAGGGACTCAGGGAGACGGGTGACGAGAAAGTAGAGAGTGATGTACATGGGAGGAGGGTTCGCAGCGCGGAACTCAGCAGGAAGGGCAGCATGGTAGCGGGTGTCACTAGCGCGGAGGTGGGTAACTAGGTCAGCAACAGTGGGAAAGGAAGCGAGGTCAGGGAAGAGAAACGGTAGCATGAGGCGGCTAAGGGTAGCGGAGGAAGGGGAGGAGTAGCGTGCAACTACAGCGTCGTACAAGGCCTGAGCGGTCTTGCACTGACTAAAGTGGGCACGCTCAGAGGAAGGGAGGTGGCGACGCACAGCAAGACGTGCAGCAGCATCGCGGGTCGCCCACTTGGAGCGAGCAGCAGAGTCAGCATCAGCAGGCGGGGCAGGGACAGCGCCAGAGACAAAGTCAAAAAGAGAGACCTCATCTATCGCATCACACAGTAAGTACAGCTGCAGGTCTTCAATCCAGACGGCAAAGTCAATGGCCCTCCCCTCAGCGTCAAAAGTAAGAACATTGGGGGTGGCCATGGCAGCAGCTGAAAGTCTCACCGGGCTAGGAGAGTCGGGTAGGACAGCAGCAGGCGGCTCGGGCTGGTGGGGCGGCTCGGGCGGCTCGGGCGGCTCGGGCGGCTCGGGCGGCTCGGGCGGCTCGGGTACCGGGCTGCTCGGCTGCTGCTGGGCGGCTCGGCTGCTGCTGGGCGGCTCGGCTGCTGCTGAGCGGCTCGGCTGCTGCTGGGCGGTCCGGCTGCTGCTGGGCGGCTCGGCTGCAGTGTAGTGGCGGGGCCGGGACAAGGGACGGCGGGGCCGTGAGGGTGCAGCGGCGGGGCCGGGACAGGGGACGGCGGGGCCGTCAGGGTGCAGCGGGCCAGCAGGTGAGGTGGCGAGCCGGTAGGTGAGGCGGCGGGGCCGTCAGGTCAGGTGGCGGGCAAGCAGGTGAGGCGGCGAGCCGTCAGGTGAGGCGGCGGGGCCGTCAGATCAGGTGGCGGGCCAGCGGGGGAGGCGGCGGGCCGTCAGTGAGGTGGCGGGCCAGCAGGTCAGGCGGCGGGCCGTCAGGTGAGGCGGCGGGGCCGTCAGGTCAGGTGGCGGGCCAGTAGGTGAGGCGGCGGGCCGTCAGGTGAGGCGGCGGGGCCGTCAGGTAAGGTGGCGGCGGGCCGTCAGGTGAGGCGGCGGGGCCGTCAGGTAAGGTGGCGGGCCAGCAGGTGAGACGGTGGGCCGTCAGATGAGGCGGCAGGGCCGTCTGGTGAGGTGGCGGGCCAGAGGGCGAGGCGGCGGGCCGTCAGGTGAGGCGGCGGCCGTCAGGTAAGGCGGCGGCGGGGCCGACAGAGGTGCAGCGGGGGGGGCCTGCCGCAGCGACGAAGAGGCCGCGCGGCCGTCTTGAGGGCGGCGCGGCGCGGCAGAGCCGAGAGGGCGGCGCGGCGCGGCTGTAAGGGCCGCGCGAAGTGGGGCCCAGGCCGCGCGCGCGAAAAAAATGAGTCGCGCGCGCGACTCTCGGGGCGCCACAAGGGCAGCTCGACGCGCACTAGGGGGAGCGCGCCTCGAGGAGAATAGGGCGCGCTCCGGGCAGGAAAAAAGATCGTGGGTGGGCCCAAAAAAAAACGGTCCTTAGAAGGGACCCGCTCTATACCATGTGAAACTTAATGAACGGGAGTGAATGACTATGAAATGAAGTGGGTACAAATAGGAAACCCTAATTGGGTTGTACCCCCTATGGGATACCCCACTATAGCCTACAGAAACAAGTAAGCTATATGTTCTGACACGCGACTCTGGTATCTCCCGAAAGTCCCTGGCAGTATGGAAATCGCGGAAGGGTGAGCTGGAGGGCGCGCATGGGGCTCGCAAGCGTCTTCACGGGCGTGGTCGGTCGTCGTGGTATCGCGACATGGAGATCCAGGTCTACTCACGAGTACTTGCCGCCCGAAAAAAGTGCCTCGCAGTGTCGGTCGGCCGCCTGCAGCAGTGGTCGCGAGAGGTGATGAAGAGCTTGCATCCTGAGGTAAAGTGGGCGGGATCTCAGAGGTGGACCGAGCGTTTTCGGCGCCGCTAGAATCTCACTACCCGAGCGAAGACCCGTGTCGGCCAGAAACTATCCTCCGGTGAGTGGGCGTGTTGTATTCGCTCTTGTTTATCCCCTTGGCCAACCGGTCGATGTGGTAATGTTTTTTTATGGTTTCTGCCTCCCCGTCCCTTCCAGAGTGCGAGACGCAAGTGCGAAACTTCTGGAAGTTTGTGCGACACACACGCCGACAGTACGGAATCGACAACCGCTGGATCATTAATGCGGATCAGACCCCGCTCTGGCTCGAAATGCCAGCTGAACGCACTGTCGAGGAGGTGGGGATCCGCTCCGTGCCCATCCGCAGCGGCGGCTATCAAAAGGAACGCGTGACGGTGATGCTCGCCTGCACCGCCAGCGGCGAGAAGCTCAAGCCCTGGGTGTTCTTTAAGCGCAAGACAGTTCCAAAGGGGAATTTCCCCTCCGGTAAGCCAAGCAGCTTGTGCAGTCCCGGTAGGATTTGCATGTGTTGTTTTTTTTTACTGATGTCAATCTCAACGTTGTGCGGATGTGCAGATGTCGTGGTCGCCGCACATCCCAACGGTTGGATGGACGCGGAAGGCGTCCTCGCGTGGCTCGACGGTACGGTGGGCCCGTACGTCAACTCGAGGTTCGGAGTGCGCAGCAGGAGGGCGATGTTGGTGCTTGACTCCTACCGCGGGCACCTGACTGATCAAGTGAGGGCGAAATTCGACGAGCTGCGTATCGTGCCGGCCGTCATACCAGCTGGCTGCACATCGGAGGTGTAGCCGTTGGACGTCGCGGTGAACCGCTCCTTCAAAGCAGCTGTGCGACAACAGTACCAGGAATGGTTCGAGAGCGAGGGTGTTGACTGCCTGACTGAAAGAGGTGAGATTTAAGATTTAGGACTGATTGTTTTTCAATTATTGACCCTGTTCTAACTGATGAATCTTTCTACGTGTGGCAGGCAACATCCGCAAGCCACCACCAGAGCTAACGCTCAAATGGATCTCCAAGGCCTCGAAGGCGGTGCCCAAGGAGTTGATTGAGCGCTCGTTTCTGACCTGCGGCATCAGTAACGCCTTGGACGGGTCTCAGGACGGTCTCTGCCTACAGCACCGGCGGGATGCCGTCAAAGGCGAAGTGGATCTTGAGGACGAGATTGCAGCAGATGGATTCTGCTGCAACAACGTAGACGAGCCAGAGTCGGACGGTGAGACCGCCGACGAAGGCACTGCCACTGCTGAGGAGGATGCCTAGGTTGTGGGTAAAGTAGAAATGCGTAGAACGTGAAAATGTGGTAAAAAAAGTAGAAAATGCGAATATGTAGTCAGATATTAAGAGAAAACGTATGATACTAATTGTAACAGCGTAAAACTTAAAAATGTAGTATTTAAATGGTGGCGCTTATAATGTGTAAGGTAGTAGGGGTGCGCTTATAATCCATAAGGCTCGAAGCATGCGCTTATAATCGAGGAGCGGATACAAGCGCCCTCATCCTTTTATAAGCGCCGGTGCTTATCCGAGGTCTGCGCTTCTATCTGGGGGCTTACGGTATCAGGAAACCTCATATCAGACTAGCCTGGTAAAACTAGAGAGGGATTTTGGGTTCAGGAGAATTTTAAATATGAGCCTGATATGAGGTTCGCTTGACACGAGGCGTAGGAACACGGCCTAAAAGGACATTTCAATGCCAACGCATCAATCTAAGAAAGTCTTTTTAAAGCTTCAGTATACATTTGTCAGTGAGGTTCAGGGTTTTACATTGTGCCTCACAGTTTTGGGGCAACTTTTCAAGTTGCTAAGGATTTTGAGCCTCTACTTTCAAATGTATATCGGAGCTATGCTATGGCACAGAGCACAAGTAAGCAACCTCGCCTGTGTTCAGCAGACAAGCTTGACAACGGCGCTAACGTCATTGGAGGGAGAGTGTAGTAGATGTACGGTAAAAGCCGCGGCGACGATGTTGCGAGATCGCAGGCCACGAGTCTCATGGTGGCAAGTGAGCCTTCACACGGCATAGAAGGCAGCTGGATGGTGTCGATCCGGACACCTTGGCAACGCCCTGCTTTGCTCCTCCTTTTTTTTTTCAACAATCCGACCGTTATCACCAAACCATCACAACCATCCATGGCGGTGTGAAGAAACAAGGAATGAACGAACTAGCATAAGGTTAGGTACAAGTAGGAAACCCTAGGAAACAGTACCCCATAGTGTCTACCCCAATATAGCCTAGACAAGCTATATAATGAGAGTTTGACACACCCCCATAGGCAAAGTGGGGGAGAACAAGAGGTCACAAGACTAGTCAAGCAAAGCAAAGCAAGCTCAGGGTGGATCACAACGTCACCACACAATCCGAGCACTAGAGCAAGGCCAAAAGGCCAGTTCACATGCAAGATTATATATAAAGGTAAACAAGCAAGTGCAGGCATAGAAAGATCACAGTTCAAGCAAGGCCAAGAAGTGAGCAACTGAGGCCAAGTAGGCACAAGACCTAGCATCGTACAGTAGCTTGTGTCATTCACGCTTCATAGTGGTGCTTCGTCGTTCGTTGTCTATTCCATCCCCCAACAGTTCCGTCGATTCGTCAAATTGCTGAACCCTGGGGCCGAGCGGTCGCTAGGGACGCGGTATCGGCTGGCACGAGACATGCAGGCATACGCAGATGCTGCCAGGGAGGAGTTGAAGCAAGAGCTGATTGGTGATGGTCTCGCTGGGCGGCTGTCGCTGAGTACGGACATCTGGACCAGTGAGAACAATGTTGCTTTCATGGTTGTTACCGTCCACAGGATCACTAAAGACTTCCAGCTGCGGCAGCACATCCTGGATTTCGTGCAGTTGGAGGGGTCACACACCGCATCGCTGATAGCGAAGACTCTTGAGGGCATTCTGGCAGAATGGGGACTGACCGAGATGCTGTTCGCCGTCACGACGGATAATGCTGAGAACAACAACAAGGCCATGCGCATGCTTGCAGGGATCCAGCTGAGGGCACGATGGCGAGGATTGAGTTCCCCTTGTTCCACGGAGATCGTCACGTGCGGTAAGTCATTCGACACCTTACTCTGAGTGTATCAGAGCCGAGCAGCATGTGCCGTAGTACCATATGACTCCCTTCGACTACAACCGTGTCATTTTCAACCTTCCATCTACCCTATGCTCCTCTGCCATGTTTGCACAGCTGCATTGCACATGTCATGAACATTGCGGTGCAGGCGGCATTGAAGAAAGATGTGGTGACAGAGGCGCTGAAGCGTCTGCGAGCTGTGTGTTCGTACGTCGGGTGGTCAGTCCAGCGCTCGGAGAACTTCGCACAGCAGCAGCGCATCCTGCTGCGGCGGGATGATGCACCCGTGCTTCGTCTGATTAGCGACTCACCGACACGATGGGGGTCCACGTATGACATGATCGTCCGTGCGTTGGAGCTGCAGCAGGCACTGGCCTTGCTCCTCATGAGGACAGACGTGAGTGGTGATGGTACTGAGCATGGAGTGACCGCAGCAATGGGCTGGTCTGGTGTTTTGATGTCGTGATCGTGGTGAAAGGGCATGGTGGGGGGCTGGTTTGGTGGAGAGTGTGTTGTGACAATACTGAAGGGTGTTGTTTGTGTGTTGAAAGGTTGGATAACGTTTTCAACTATGATTGTTTGACTAGAATGACGGTTTAGCACTAATTTTATTTTGTTTTGTTTGCCCGTCCACCAGCCCCCCCCCCCGCCAGGTACGCGAGCAGCTGGATGGCCTTCGGCTGTCCGACGTGCACTGGGACGCTCTCGTCGAGCTCAAGGAGTTCCTTGAGCCGTTCAACTCCATCACGAAGGCAGCCGAGGGTTCCTTGTACCCCACGGCTGCCTCGGTCGTGCCGCTGTACAACCAGCTGCTGGACAAGCTGGAAATCTCCTTCCGCAAAGAGGGTGTCACTCCCCTCCGACAGGCTCTCATCACTGCAGCTCTTGACAAGCTGAAGAAGTACAAGTACGGGGAGAAGGAAGAGCTGGTGGTTGCCACCTTCCTGGACCCCCGCTACAAGACAGTCTTCTTCCAGCTGCCGAAATGGGAGGCGCGCAATGCTGCGCACGTGACAGAGGTGGGGGGGTGTGCAAGGAGGGTGCAGGATGTGGATGAAGGGACGGTGATACGGCTGGTGCGTGCGCGTATGGCCGAGTATCAGGCGCGGGTGAACACCCGCCAGCAGGGTGGTGAGGTCACGAGTGATACCGGGGGGGCCACTGGGCCTAGCAGCGTGACTGGTGGGGCCTCGGGCACGACGGGGGCTGGTGGAGGTGGGGGAGGGGGCTTTGAGCACTCCATCTTTGACGAGATGGATGCCCTGGAGGCAGCTGCTGGAGGGGGGGCACAGGATGAGGTGGATTGCTATTTGGCCGAGCCGAGGCAGAGAGGTGGTTGTCCGCTGGCTTTCTGGCGGGCGAGGGAGGATTTACAGTTTTGAGAGAGATGGCGCGTAACTATTTGGCTGTGCCCGCTACTTCTGCTGCTAGCGAGCGAGCCTTTAGTCAGGGGAGGAACATTATTACATGGCAGCGCCACCGCCTTACTGCTGGCTGCGTACGCGCCGTCATGGCAATTAATTTATGGATGGAGCAGAACACTAGCGGCAGGAGCCTCAACATTGCAGGTGCCGCTCGGGTGCTCGATGACCTTTGTTATGAGGGTGAGGATGATGGGTTCTGACTTGAGGCTGGTTGTGACTGTGGGCACGATATTGTTGTGTACCCTGGGGTGTGGGTGTGGCTATTTTGACTGTAGAAGATGCCATAGACCACACGTTGTAGGTGGTTGAACTTGAACATATTTATTGTCACGACATAGAATAATTTATGCTAGCATGTGACAGCGATATGTCGTGAAACTAGTACAATAGGTAGTTAGGAGAATAGTTCGGCCTAGGCTTAGTAGCCTAGGCCAAGGAGGATCGAGTTGGTTGTGCCAAGGGTGTTGAGAGAATTTCGGGAAAAGTGTTTTTTCACTATAGGTTTGCAATCACATATATGCAAGTGAACAAAGGTGCACCACCTAACACATTTTGTAATAACTACACTAACTACAGCTACAGGCAGTTACAGATATAAACTCTGACACGATAGGATACTGCAACTCTAGTACAACGAACATTGTGTTAATGCATTTGTGGTAGCGCACGAGTTTGCAATGAAAGATGTGACACTTCATCCATTTCACAGAAAACTGCAAGCTAATATTATATAGGCCCAAAAACAGCAACAAAATTCGTCATAATGTATATTGGATTTACATGCATAACGGGTATACCCGACCCGTCCACGGGTAACCCTACCCGACCGCGGGTAGTTACTACCCGAGGGTATATAAACGGGTACCCAATCCGACCCATCAAACCCGAGGTCGGGTATACCCGACCCGACCCGACTGCACCCTCGGGTACCCCCAAACGGGTCGGGTCGGGTCAATGCCCAAGCCTACCCTCACTGCAGGGCTAGTGCAAACTAAACACTCCTTTGCACTGATCATGCTTGTCGTTGTAGAAGAAATCGACCAGTCTACACCACACACCAGTGTGAAAGTGAAAGAAAGAAAAGAAAGAAAAACAAACTCACAAGAATTGGAGAAGTTTGCAATTCACACACCACCACACCAGCCATGAAAGAGGTCATGGCACCTATTCCTCGTCATCACGACTCTCTGCACTGCTACCCTTCATCGGCATCCTTACTTGACCAACTTTTGCAAAGTACTTGTTGAACGCAGGGAAATGAAGTGCTTTCGTCAAGAAATCTGCCGGCTGTTCGCTTGTCGAGATGTACTGCAACTTCAGCTTGCGAAGTTTCACCATGCTCTGCAGCCACATGTAGCGCCGCTCCATGTGTTTCAGCTTTCCCTTAAAGCTGCGCTCTACATTATAAGTGGTGTTTTTTGGGGGTATATTTTATGCCCACCCTTTCGTGCAGCCAGATTGGAGAACGAAATCAGCATGTTTCAGAAACACCGCAGCGACGAACTCAGACAGGAAACGCGAATCCAGCCCAACTTCGTGCTTACGCGTGGTTTGGGGGAAGGGTAAGCGGAAGTGCGGGAAACAACCTGGGGAGTTTGGTTTCGGGCGAAAAGAACCCCAACCCCCTCTCTCTGTTAGAGCAAGAGTGTCGCTGCACTGCGCTGTCATTGCTGCCACTACTGCTACTGCTGCCACTGCTGTCATGGCTACCCCCAGTGTCCTTACCTTTGATGCTGACGCTCGGGCTGTTAATTTTGAGGTCTGGGTCGATGACCTGCAGATTTTCCTACAGTGCAATAGGGCAGTCGGACTCTCCCTGTTCGATCTCACCTCTGGTGCCTTTCCTGCCCCGCCTGCTAGTGCTGACAGCACTGTTCGCTCACAGTGGGCCACACGCGATGCTGCTGCATGTCTTGCTGTGCGTCGCCACTTACCGACCGCTGAGCGTGCGCACTTTAGTCAGTACAAGAGTGCTAAGACCTTGTACGACGCTGTAGTTGTACGCTACTCTTCCCCTGCCACTGCTGCTCTTAGCCGCCTCCAACTGCCGTACTTGTTCCCTGACCTTGCTGCCTTTCACACAATCGCTGACCTCATTACGCACCTTCGCACTAGTGACACTCGCAACCGCGCTGCGCTTCCTGCTGAGTTCTGCGCCAAGAACCCTCCCCCCATGTACATCACCCTCTACTACATAGTCACCCGGCTCCGTGACTCCCTTCGCGTAGTCAGGGACCACTTCCTCTCAGTTTGCCCCACCACACTCACCGATGACCTCCTTCAGGAACGCCTCCTAGTAGCGGAGAAGAGTATAGTTGTTGTAGGAGCCTCTACAGGCGACCCGCGTGCCCCTGTCTTTGAGGGGTGCTCCCCCTCCCCCCTTTTGCCCTCTGTTGCCTCTGCTGCTGCCGTTGACTTCGTTGGCACCGAGTCGGTCGGCGCTGCGTCTGCCCCTAGCGGGCGACGCTGCACCGGCAAGGGCAAGGGGGGCAAGGGCGCTGGAGGGGCTGGCGGGGGCGGTGGAGGTGGAGGTGGAGGAGGCGGAGGGAGTGGGGGTGGTGGTGGGGGTGGTGGCGGGAGTGGGAGCTTCGGTGGCGGTAGTGGCGGCGAAGGCGACGACGGCGGTGGCGGTGGGAGCGGAGGAAGAGGCACTGGCGGCGGTGGCGGAGGTGGCGGCGGGAAGGTGGAGCTAGTCGAGGTGGCTCTGCGCAGCGGAGCGGCTCAGCTGGTGGTCAGCCCCAGCAGCAGCAGCGCACTCGTGAGACCCCGTCCCCCCAGCAGCTTCGTGAGTGGTACACTGCGCGTGAGTGAGGTGGGGGTGCTGGTCCCTGTACCTACGTCCTCAGTACCGGCGACCGAGCTGGTAAGCAGTGCGGGGGCTTGCACTCCACCCAGCGCTGCTTCGGCCACCTGACGGACACTTGGCGTCTCCAGTTCCCTTACGCCACTGAGATCCCTCGCTGGGGAGAGCTGTCTAGGGTGGGGGTTGCTATCTTTGATCTTGACTATGATGCTATTCTTGCTGCCATGTATGCTGTGTCTACCAGTCATGAGGGTGACTGCTACCTGTGTCTTCCGCCTGACCCGGGCATTGAGGCTGCTGCTCTAGGTGCTGGTGAGGCTACTACTCTAGGTGCTAGTGCGTCTGCTGCCCCAGGTGCTGGTGAGTCTGCTCTCTCAGGTACCACGTCGGCTCAGGCCTTACACACCTTCACCCTTGACTCGGGTGCTTCCCGCTCCTTCTTTCGAGACCGCACCATGCTTACGCCGCTTAGTCGGCCAGATGCGGTCTCCCTGGCTGACCCCTCTGTGGGTCATACCCTTGCCCACTTCTCCACTGTCTTACCGTGTCCAGCGGCCTCCTCTGGCACCCTGTCAGGTCTCTACCTCCCCTCGTTCTCTACGAAGTTGGCGAGTGGTGCTGATCTATAGGATGAGGGGGTTGACCAGTTCACTCCTGCGGGTCAGCGGGTGACCCACTGTACGTGTGCTCGGATGGGCCGACACTTGGCAACGTTTACCCGTCAGCCGGGGTTGAGCCTGTACACATTGACTACTAAGTCTCCTCCGGTTGCTGAGTCTGGTCAAGTAGCTGCGTCGGGTCAGGTGTTTGCTGCAGCGTCTAGGTCTGGTCATGAGTCTACTACCTGCTCGTTGTCAGAATGTTATCTTATGCTCTAGCGTGTAGTGGGGTGCTCTATAGCGAGTACAACCCTTCTAGGGTTTGCTATTTGTATCCCCATTCTTGCTAGTGCAATCCTCTCCTTTCTTCTAATTTTGTCATGCTATCAGAGCAGGTCGATCCCCTTGGATCGATCCTGTGGGTGGGTTACCACCTCCTCGCTTCCGCTGCAACTTTTCCTTCCCGCCGTGCGCCCCGAGGCGCGCGGTGGTTTTCTGCCCGCCGTGCGCCCCGAGGCGCGCGGCGGTTTTCTGCCCGCCGTGCGCCCCGAGGCGCGCGGCGGTTCTTTGCCCGCTGTGCGCCCCGAGGCGCGCGGCGGGCTTCTGCCCCGTCGTTCGCCGCGTCGCCCTCTGGAGGCGCCGCGACGGGCGACGGGGACCCGTCGCGGCCCCGCCGCCCCACGTCGCGGCCCCGCCGCCTCACGTCGCGGCCCCGCCGCCTTACGTTGCGGCCCCGCTGCCCCACGTTCGCAGCACCGCCGCCCCACTTCGCGGCCCCGCCGCCCTTCTGTCGCGGCCCCGCCGCCCCACCTTCGCGGCCCCGCCGCCCTACACCTGTGGCCCCGCCGCCCTCCTTTCGCCCTGGCCCCATTTCCCGTCGCCCGTTGCGGCTCCCTCGGGGGCCGCTTACTTGGGGGAGGGGGGCGAGCGCCGCCATCCCACCCTGCCTACCCGCCATCCCACCCTGCATGTGTTAGGGTTTGGGGGTGGCAAGCAGGGGGTGGCGAGTATGGGGGTGGCACTTCCTCATTCCTCCCTTTGCTCCTCCTCCTCCTTCGTCTCCCACTGCTGCAGCTGTCGCTGAGGGGGGTGGATGTGTGGGAGACTAGGGTTTAGGGTTTAAGGGGGGTGCGTGGGAGTGGAGCTAGCGGTGTAGCAGCGGGTGTGTGTCGGGGGGGTGGGACTGTTTGGGGAAGTTGCACGGAGGTTGCCGTCGTGTCGCCAGCAGCACCTGTATTCCGGGGACTTCGTCCGGTAGCCCAGTCGTAGCCAGCTGTGCCAGCCGCCCGTGGGTCCGTTGCTCGTCTGCCGCTACTTAAGCCGCGGGGCCTGTTACTCCTGTATTCCGGGGACTTCGCCCGGTAGCCGCTGTGCCAGTCTGCCTCCTGTTGCCCGTGTGTCTGCAGCTTCAGCCGTCGCCTCCTATCTCCTCTCCCCTCACTCTCCCTCCTCCTCCTCACTTGCCCGTTGTGACTACCACTAGCTTTGCTCATAATTCTGAACTCTAAACTATTGCTTCTTGAGCTTGTGCTCAGAATGTGTGGTGACATTGTGATCCACCCTGAGCTTGTACTGCTTTGTTTGCTCTGCTGATTACACCCCACTTAGGCTATGGGGGTGTGTCAGAATATTATCTTATGCTCTAGCCTGTAGTGGGGTGCTCTATAGCGAGTACAACCCTTCTAGGGTTTGCTATTTGTATCCCCATTCTTGCTAGTGCAATCCTCTCCTTTCTTCTAATTTTGTCACTCGTGTCGTCTCCTGTCCCACCGGACTCTCCTCTGGCACCACCGCCTTGGTCACCCCTCCCTACCTCGTCTCCGAGGCATGGCCTCCCGTGTCCTTGTCTCTGGTGTCCCCCGGTCCCTCCCTCCCCTCCCTCCGGGGCCTGCCCCTACCGGCGTTCCCTGCGTCGAGGGGCGGCAGCGCGCCACACCTCACTCCTCCGAGTTTCCTCTAACAGAGGCTCCCCTGCAGACTCTTCTCATGGACGTGTGGGGCCCCGCCCGCGTCCGTGGCCAGGGTCACGAGCATTACTTCTTGTTGGTGGTTGACGACTACTCGCGTTACACCACGGTGTTCCCCTTGCGCAGCAAGGGTGGCGTCACTGAGGTGTTGATCGACTGGATCCGCGCTGCCCGTCTCCAGCTTAGAGAGAGTTTCGTCTCGGACTTTCCTGTTCTGCGTCTCCACTCTGACAGAGGCGGGGAGTTTCTCTCTGCCCGTCTGGGAGCCTTCTTTCGTGCACAGGGCATCCACCAGACCTTCACGCTTCCGGCCTCTCCACAAGAAAATGGGATTGCTGAGCACCGCATTGGCATGGTCATGGACGTCGCTCGTACGTCCATGATCCATGCGGCTGCTCCCCATTTTCTGTGCCCTTATTCGGTTCAGTACGCAGCGCATCAGCTCAACCTTCAGCCCCGGGTCTCCTTGCCAGACACCTCCCCCACCTTGCGGTGGACGGGGAAGGTTGGTGATGCGTCTGCGTTTTGGGTCTGGGGATCTCGGGCGTTTGTCCGTGACTTGTCTGCGGACAAGCTGTCCCCTAGAGCTATTCCCTGCGTCTTCCTTGGCTTCCCCCCTGACGCGCCTGGTTCGCTATTTTACCACCCCACCTCGCGCCGTGTTCTGTCCTCCAAGGACGTCACCTTTGACGAGTCGGTGCCTTACTACCGTCTCTTCCCCTAACGCACTGCATCCCTCACCCCCTCCGCCGCTCTTCCTTGCGCCACGTCCTCCCCCGGTAGATCCTCTCCCCCGTCAGGGTCCTGACCCGTCAGGTGTGTCCCAGGTGGACGTAGTCGAGCCTGCCGAGGTAGCTGTTGACTCTGGTGCTGCTAAGGGTGCTGAGCCTGGGTGTGCTGAGTCTGGGGGTGCTAAGTCTGGGGGTGCGGAGCCTGGGGGTGCTGAGCGTGGGGGTGCTGAGTCTGGGGGTGCTGAGACTGGGGGTGCGGAGCCTGGGGTTGCTGCGCCTGGGGGTGCGGAGCGTGGGGGTGCTGAGCCTGGGAGTGCAGAGTCTGGGGGTGCGAAGCTTGGGGGTGCTGGGTCTGCTCGTGTGGACTCTGCTAGGTCTGCTGGAGCTGGAGGTACTACTCTTGCTCCTGGTCCTGGAGGTGCATGTACTAGTGGTACTGGAGCTGCCGGGACAAAGGGGTGCTGCTGGGGCTGCTGGAGTTAGTCTTGCTGGAGGTACTGCTGGAGCTGCTGGCGGTACTGGAGCTGACGGTCCAACTGGAGTTGGTGCTGCCGGAGCTGTTGGAGCTGGAGCTGCTGGAGGTGTTGGCGCTGGTGGTGCTGTTGGCGCTGGTGCTTCTAAGGGTGCTGGAGTTGGCGCTGTTGGAGTTGGAGGTGTTGCTGGCGCTGGTGCTGCCGCTGGGGGTACTGGTGCTGTCCCTGCTGGTTCTGGAGGCGCTGCGCGGCCGAGACCGTACTTCGTTCCGCTCCTTGAGCAGGTTCTTGGTCTCCTGCCCTCTACTGGTCCTGCTCCTCCTTTAGAGGGTCCCTCGCATGTCTACCCTGTTCGTGCTGCTCGCACTTGTCGTCGTGCTCCGTGTCCGCGTCCTCCTGCGGTCCCAGGCACACCAGATGGCACTGCGTCTGTCCACTACTCCTCTGCGTGTCCCGTTGCCGTCTCCTCCAAATTTCTCTCTTCCTGTCCTTGCTGACCCGGAGTCTAACTCTCTTCGTGCTGCCAGTCCTACTGTCACGCGTCTCCTGGCTACTGTTGTCACTGACCCTTCCTTTGAGTCCACTGCTGCGTCTGCCTTAGTTGCTGAGCTTGTCAACTTTGCTGCTCGCTATCGTCTAGACTACGCCGCTAGTCTTGTTGCTGAGTCTAAGTCTGTCTGTCCTCCGTCCGTCGGGGGTGAGTGTGCTCTTAGCACGGACGTCCTTGAGGACAGGCAGGAGGAGTTCCAGTGTTTTGCTGCTGCTTTGCCTCATCTTGTGTCCACGCTGATTGCCCCTGAGGGAGATCCGGATGCACCAGACATGACTCCTCGATCGTACGCTAGGCGATCGAGGGTCACTACTCCTCTCAGTGGCAGTCAGCCATGGACGCAAAGATGGCTTCCTGGATGTGCACAGGCACCTACGTCGACGAGGTTCCCCCACCTGGGGTGAACATCGTCAGTGGCATGTGGATTTTCAGGGTGAAGCGGCCGTCGGGTTCTCCGCCTGTCTTCAAGGCGCGTTACGTGGCTCGAGGCTTCAGTCAGCGGCAGGGAGTTGACTACTTTCAGACCTTCTCTCCCACCCCGAAGATGACCACTCTTCGGGTGCTGCTGCACATAGCCACTCAGCGCAACTACGAGCTTCACTCTCTTGACTTAAGCATAGCTTTCCTACAAGGCAGCCTGCACAAGGAGATCTGGCTGTGCCGCCCACCTGGCTTCACTGGGTCGTTTCCTCCTGGTACCCAGTGGAGCCTCCGGCGGCCAGTCTACGGTCTCCGCCAGGCGCCCCGTGAGTGGCACGACACACTGAGGACTACACTTGCGGCTCTTAGGTTTGCTCCTTCTACTGCCGACCTGTCGCTGTTTCTGCCCACCGACACCTCTTTGCCGCCGTTCTACATCCTCGTGTACGTCGACGACTTGGTCTTCGCCACTGCTGACAGTGCTGGACTCGCCCACGTGAAGTCCGAGCTGCAGAAGCGACACACGTGCACAGACATGAGTGAACTGTGCAGCTACCTTCGCTTGCAGATCACCTGGGACAGAGCACAGCGCACCATTAACCTGACTCAGTCACACATGGTGCAGCAGGTCCTTCAGCGCTTCGACTTCACGTACTCCTCGCCTCAGGCCACTCCTCTGTCTACTCGCCACTCGCTCTCAGCTCTGCCTTCGGATGAGTCCGTAGAGCCGAGTGGCTCGTACCCAGAGCTTGTTGGCTGCCTCATGTACCTGATGACCTGCACAAGACCTGACCTCGCATACCCTCTTAGCATCTTGGCACGCTATGTTGCTCCTAGGAGACACCGACCAGAGCACATGGCTGCAGCGAAGAGGGTGTTGCGCTACTTG